TCATTGTATCGTCTACTAGTTGTTTTTAATAAAGTCTAATACAACTGTGGACTCTACAACAACGTCAAAGAAAATGAGTGTGTAATCTGCATACATTATGAAGTGATTTTATCGTGATATTCAGTCACAAACATACGAATCACTCAACACGTATCGGCAAATTGTTTGTAGGTATTCATAATCACGTGAGTAAATGAACCAGTACAAATAATCGAATAATAAACAACTAGCGCTTTTCTCAACCACAAAATCACAATTAAGAGTTGTCGTAATTCTATCCATATAATACACATTTCTCCCTTACAGGATTCCATCCATCATGTCTTAAAGTGTCTGGAATTTATGTCGCATCAAGGTCTGCAATTCATGTCACACCAACGTACTTGAATTTCATTCCAAATTGCTGGATCTTTCTCAGTAAATATTGTGTGATTAATGTGAACATACGTATGACTGTGGAATTGGGAATTACTCTAAAGATTCATCATAAATTCGCGCTTTTTTTTTGAAACATTCCAACCTCGTGGTTAGTTGGGCTCTGTGGACGATGGAATCCAGTTTGGATTGGTGAGTAAGTGCTAAAAGATGCGTAGATTTTGGGTTGACGATGACAAATAACTGGCCGAATGAGGATACGAAAACATTTTGGTGACTAACAACTGCACCATTCACCATTCGATAAAGTTTTGATCAAAAGCTGCATCGCAAATAAATATGTAAGGGATTACTTCATTCAATAATTGCATCATAGATCAGCATCACTAGGCACATCCCGTGTTCGATGCACTGTTTCATTGCACCAGTTTTCTATCTGTCAGAAAGTTGTGATCTAACAGATTTTTATTTCTGTTGTTCTTCCTACTCCAACAACATTTTGTTGGTAGACATTTGTCAGTGTCATGTCAACTTTTTAGCAATTAATTTGAAAATTCTCAATTGCATCACTCACCTCGTTTTATTGTTGCGGTTTTGTGATGTGGAAACATCTTCTTTCAAATGAGTTATTCAGTAAAACAGATCTATGCGTGTTAACGTTAGAAATGTCAACAGTTGCCGAACATTTTGGTGGAGATGGAAAGCTAGTGTTCGAGTTTTTGATTTGTGCGAAAAATAGATAAGTACAATTCACGTGAGGTTGAAATGGTCAGCAGCGTTAGTTCACTTGCAGAATTGATGCAGTCATGCAAATAGAGCACTGACATTCTTCCAGCATCGTTTCAAATTCAGATATTCAAAAAGTACAATGAACTAACAATAAGGATATAAACTCTAACAAGTGGAATGTAAGAATGAATGCAAACAATGGAATGATTATGATATAGTAAAACAACAAACCATATCAATTCAATATACAACACTATAATCAAAACAAACACTATTGCGAATCTGATCAATCACAATTTTGCTTCTAGGCTTGAGATTCTCGACTGGATAGTTGGAGCCAATATGCGATATGATAATCCAATTTCACGTTGGCTGAAATCCGCACTTTTAGGAGCCAACCGTTAGGTACTTGAAGAATAACCTTCAGGTGTTTCAGGAATCAAGCTTGAGCAGCTAATCAGTTCTTCCTGCTAGCATGTTCTTTCGGTGGTTCTGCAAACGGATCGTCTTTATTGCCGTCGTGTACGATTGGTGCGATCATTTGCACGAATTCTTCATAGTTTATCTGCAATGAAAACGAGACATTCATTGTTCAATTGCTTGCGACTGCAAGACAAGCTACCAGCTGTAAAAATATCCATTGGGATTATGGAGTTTATGCAAAGTAGGGTCAGAACTGTAAATGTTAGGTTTTGTGGAGATATTAGAAGGTACCTGCTCATCTCCGTCCTTGTCGACTTCCTTTATAATCTCGTCCACTTCTTCTTCACTGAATTTTTCACCCATCGTTGTCATGAAATGCTTGAATTCTTGAGCAGTTATGTAGCCATTACCATCCTTATCGAAAACTCTGAAAGGGATGCTTCAAACGTATTTTTCTTCGTTTCAAACACCATCAGCGAAATCTTAGCCGAATTATTTAACTAGGATGAAGGGCAGACGCATAGCAGCTTGAGGAGAGCGTAATTGAAGTGATTTACGATAACGTATTTCACTTCGATAAAATTGAACCACTATGGGTAAAAGTTCGGGCTGAATCTAAAATGTGGCTCCGAGCAATTCGTGCTGTGATTGATTGAAATTGCACTTTCAGAACATCGGCGTGTGGAGAGAACGGTACATGCTAACTAGAGGGAAACGGCTTACTTGAAGGCGAGCCTTATCAACTCTTGATCGGTTTCCTTATTCATTTCTTTCATCATTTTGCAAAACTCAAAGAAGTCAATTTTGCCGTTTCCGTCAACATCGTATTCATTGACCATATTGAGTAATTCCTCTTCGGTTGGGTTCAAGCCTAATGTCCTCATCGCAACACCTAATTCTTTTATGTTCATCGTTCCATTCCCATCTTTATCAAACATCTGAAGCGAACAATTTTCATTTCAGTTCGCAAACAATAAGAAGTACTCTTCAACAATGCGCCACCAAGAAATCGATTCACAATCAATCAACGGATAAATCTTAGCGATCGTTTTTTTTGAGCATTTTAGTACTCAAAACGGTGAAGTGTTCAACTTCCTCCGGAAAAATATTCCATAGATGGAGGTTGAGGTTAGAGAGTTGGTGGGAAGGATGAGAATTTTTCAAACTGTTACTAAGAGTATACCTTGAAAGCTTGTGCGAATTCCTGTAATTCTTCAGGTGTGAATTCATCCTGATCAGTTGTATTCGAAGAGTTCGTGTACTGTCGATGCATCACTTTCGAATCGCTGCTTGCTCCTATTGCGGTACACGATATTGCTGGCCGTATTGAAGAACTACCTACTGCAACTGAAAATCACTCAATGTTTTTTATCGCTCCTCGTCAAGTATCAGTTTCTACTTAAGCGTCTCTTGTCTTTAGTGAGCATCTATTTTATTAGAACGCCAATTCGTCAGCATACCTAAACACTTGAGTTTTTCGCAGTGTACTCCTCTGCAATCTTGAAAACACATGGGTTTTACTGCCTCAAGCTTAAGTTTCGTCACAATCACCGAGTAGATGTAATCTATCCATGATCGTGGAGCTGGAAGTCATAAATGAAGGCCCTCTTTATCTCAGATAAATGATCCATCATAATCCTCGGCGAATTTTGTAGTGAATAGGTCACACAAGGACGAAAGACGACTGCACCTGTACACGATTGCTAGTGTATACAATTCCAATTCTACTTTTAGTCAAGAGGGTGTTTTCTGAAACTGAAATTCCCCTGCACGATTTTGGAGTGCCGTTGAGAAGGCAAACAATACACAGATGGTATTGACATGGACACAGGTAAAGGATATTCAAAGAACATTCCTTTAATCAATGAACACGAACCACTAAAGAAATATGAGCATCTGATCAGTGATGTGACCAGTATACAATTTCTATCACCTATCAAAGATCTGAATTCTTAAACTCGCCACTTCTTCAGTCTCGTAACTCTGCAATTTGCGAATATTATTGTCAATGCTTTAGAGTTTGATGAAGGCACAAGTGCTGATAACAGCAAGCTTATTATGACGATCTTAAGGCTAGTGACATACTCCATTCCGTTATCAAGTTGAATTCCTTAGGGCATCATTTGTTAGGAATTATTTGAATAAGATCTACCCAGAATGCTTCTTTGAAGGGGTTGTTCGCGTGACTACGCTAAACAACACTCAATGTGGAACAACCATCATAACTCTAAAGAATAATAACCACATCTCCGATGCCCTTTCCTTGCGAACAGACGCCGTCTTCTCGCGTTACATAACAAGTCATAACATAACAAGTTATCTTTCGTTCATTCCGATATCAACAAAAACAGAAAATTCAACGAGTTGCAACATTTAAAAAATCCAGCGCATAATGAAAGCTCAGACAGTTGCTAACTGCAATGTTTCACAACTCAAATCACCACCAGCAAGAAATGCGATCAACATCTTGTGATGATCGCATAAGTTACAATAAAAAGGTTAACAAAATGATTGACGGGTAACAGACTTGAGATATTAATTGAGGCCATGTGTATTCAGTTGAATTACTTCTTGGTTCGCACATTATAATGAATGGTGTTCGTCAACATCTCCTGCATAACGTTCTATACGCAAATTAAAGCTATTCACACGAACAGCTCGAAAAGCAACATCGAAAATCGTTCAGGCAAACGAAGTCCCTCATGCTTATTGGAAGGAATGGGATTATTAGGTTACTGCACATAACACATTGCTCGATTGATGGCAACCTTTCCTTAAATAACAACTGACAATGTCAAATCTGGGCATTTTCAGACATCGCTGCGAAACAATTTTGAAGAAATCGGTGTGAACGCATGATGTGCTCATCACTTCCGCATCAAATTTGAATAGAAATATTTGATGTAGAACAAATGATTGAGTTGTGAAAGCTGGATTACAGAACAACTTTTGGTATGGATATTAAGAAAGGAAATAAAACCTTAAAGTTGTGTTAAGATGGCGAAAGCACCACACGAAGAATGAAGGAATTGATTTGAAGAAGTGGAAAATTAAGAAAATTTTGGGTTGCTCACAACAAAGAACCATGGAAAATCAGGAATGAATTCGTAAGAAGTTTGCAGCGGAAATTTCGAAGAAATGAAAGCAGAGTTGATTTATATGGCGTACAGCCATTCGATACGGACAAAATTCGTAAAAGTGAAATTTGAAACGATCCCTCAGAGCGATCGACGATCACATTCTTACGAAATATGAGAGGTCGCGTTCACACATCTTCGCGCAAACAAGAATATGTTCTGGAAATGTCTGATGCAGGAATGGTCACTGAAATGATTGTGGTCGGAGCAGGAATTTTGCGATTATCTTCATTCTTCAGATAAGCTTCAAACTGATGAATGGATTTACAGGATTAGGTTATGTTAATAGATAAGCTGCAGGCAAGAATTTCATTTGAGTTAGATGAAGAGTTAATTAGGTCAATTTTTATTTGTTTTTGGGTTCCATCGACACATCTTTTCAATTAGAACGTAACTTCAGAATTCAAAAAAAACTTGTTCTTTGTTTATTCGGGTGGAAATAATGCAAATTGAAAAGGCCTTATCAATTTTAAGTCATTTGTTTGTAAGATAATGAATGAACGCAGCTGAATAAATCGCAACGAATTGCAACATCGATTTTGGATAAGCAATTCATGTAGTAGTTTCGCAATCGATGAGGTATTCCGAATGGGATTGATGCTGATGAGAAGAGGGACTGCGATCGAACGGAGTTGGTTAAGGAAACTCTCTTTTCGCTGGAAAACATGTTCTGCGATAGAAATGATACAATGTACAAGAGCAACTATCGCACCTCAGCTCTTTTCGTTTTCGGTTGCAGTGCAAGGAACTAAACGAGTGCATCTATAATAAAGGCTATCATGAAGTATCGAGTTACGGAGTAGAACTTTTTTTATCAATATAGGAATCAAATTGATTGATTAGCAGTTTAGAAATTATTTGCAGTCCAGACTGAATACTGCTTATGAATGACAGTAATGAAACATTTTGAGCCATAACAAATAGTTTGGAATCAGAGAAATGGAGATGAAATGAGCGTATTCAACATTCAGCTTCCCGCATAAATGAGCGAAATATGTGCTGTTTAATAAATATGAAAATTAAAGAAGCTTTTGTATGTATTTCAAAAAACATCATCTTTAGAACATTCAAGAGTATCGAATTTCAAAATTATGGCGCAGCATTTAAGAAGAACAGAGTGTTGTTTACGTTGTTGAAAGCATTCCATCTGAAACGTTTGCATTCTACCAGCAAGAAATGACATAAGAAAAGAGCATCACAGAAATCAACTTTTGATTACAGTCGAAATATTTTTTGCGGTATTCCAGACACAAACTTTAATGCGGTATTCAAATCATTATAGGAGGGGCTGAACAATGTGAACGTTGACGCAGAAGAAGAGTGGCCTACAGTGGAACAGCGGAACGGATGAAAACTCATAAAGTAAATCACAACTGTGGAAAAATGCATCAAAATTTTGGTTTTTCACAACAAATATATCACGAATGACTCTCAAATATGATTTGGAACGAAGTAGTTCGTGAAAAGTTTTGATTCGATGTGCTTTTTGAGAACGATGTCCAACTGAGTGAATGATAAGCATACAGTATATTGTTGTTCAGATGAAACTTGCTTTTATCAAGCCAACATTCGATGTACTTCGTTAATAACACATTTTTATTGAAGGTAAACATGTAGTAGTCGATTGACTAATGCTCACTAATGGTATTCGCACAAAATTATCCATCTACGAGACTCAACCAAGCAAAACGAAGTTGTGCTGGATTGTTTGAACGATTCACTGAACTCAGAAGAAAAGAGCACTTTGAATGTGTAACGCAGTATCGGTGTCAACTCTTCAACTAATACTCATCCGGCAAAGAACTCTCCAATACACCGCTACATAATGACAAGCAATTTTCTATTTTCAACACATAACAGTCGAAGATGCGAATAAAATTGACTAGCAATTTGCAGTAATTTTCAACCATTTTCACAACAAAAACTTCAATCAAACATTCAAACCAAATTAGTTGTTAAACATCGCACACCAAAAGTGTTTTCCTGAATTCTTAAAAAATACATTTAAGAGAAGGTACCGAAAAGAAACACGGATAATAACGACGGTCTGGTTCATAATATGCCCGAATAATGCCCCTTTTTGAGAGGTGTTGTGCCGAACTCTTACCTTAAATGTCGTGTATTGCAAAGAGAATTCGCAAATTTATGCTCTCAACGAAGCGATACTTGATGGTGAGTTTAAACAGCTATTTCTTCAAATAACATCATGCATTCCTTTTTCTTTTAATAAATGTGTATTCAGAGTTGACTGAAACGTTCTGATCTACTTCTCGAGAGCGGTTGTCGGAAAAAAAACAACCTCTATAAAAGGTCCCATGAATGTGCTCATGCACAAAAGTCGCAACTTTAAAAAGCAAGAATTGAAAGACAGATAAATCGAAAAGAATATGAATTTTTTTCAAACAATCACGGCGTTGATTGCGAGGTGGAATTCCCAGCAGGAGTTGTAGAAACGAATAAGCGTGAAGAAACGTATGGAGAGGAACTAAGGAATGAAACGGCGTGACAAGAGAACTTATGAATGAGGACGCTTGCAAACGTGAGAAGTTTACAAGAGAATGAAATTTTGATTCGTCTTTGAACTGGAATCGTGAAGCATCAATCAATGCTCAGAACAAACGTTCCTTGTTTTGTGTTGTGCTTAATCAATGCAGATGTTCATAACAGTTGCGTTCAACGAAATTCATAAGTTAAGTTCATTCGAACTCGTCTTGTATCAATCAAACAATATCAATGAAATGAAAAAACAATATCAATGAAATGATAATATTCATACAACACTGAATGTTCACAGTTATACAGACTGCATTAAATCAGTCAGGAAAAATCACACAGAGAATATCTGTTTCGTTATGCTCATTTCTTATTCATCCATCGCATTGTGATGGTTTTCTCTCTTGTTTTTATTCATTCATTAAACATTATATTCGCGTCACGAGTAGCGAACAGCAAGTGCCGGTTGAATGCCACTAGAGTGATGCATTACCCGGATGTGCAGTACAAAGAATATTTTTCGTGATAATATTCACTGGGAGGGTGAAACATGGAGCGTTTCCATATCCATTCTAAAAAGAAGAGAAGAAATGACCTGAATTAGCACTTTCGTCAGACGAATTTGATGTACTTGGCGGGGTTTGAAAGACGCCGACAACATGCACGATTCGGCCTTTGGCTGCAACCGGTATAACAACACCTTGCGATGGTGTTGTTTGAGTGGGACGACAGTGTGACCTGAAAGCAAGATTACAAACGCCATGTCAATTTCGTGACTAATTTCATTGAGGATACTC